TCGAATTTGACTACCTACTTATCGTGTACACATCAAACACAACAAAGAAATAATAAAAAAAAATTAAAAATTAAATACACATCATAGTAAAATCAAAATATTCATCGTTCCACTCAGAATCTAAAATACAAATTATAGGTCCCCGATACAATTAAAATGTTCATAATATTGAATAATAATTAATAATTTTGTGATCAGCAGTATTCGTAGAAAATGTTAGATTTGAAATTTTAGAATCTAGTTGGTATTATAGCCGATACTGTAAATTTGATGAATTTACTGAGTATACCTTTATGTTACCTAAAATCCAGTAATCACATTTTTATTTAATGATTTATAAAATACAATAAGCTTTTATAAAAATATGCTTGTACTTCTGCAAATATCTATTCACCATATTAATAAATAATTAAATTAATAAACGAAAATAATAATTCAAATAATATATCATACGTGATACCTATTATTATAATTCAAATTCAAAATTATAAACTATTTTGATTTTTGTCATACAAAATTTCAACGAACAAATATTGTTCCTTAAAGGTCCCCACACACTGCAGCGGTGGCAGTGGCGGTGAATTGCTGTAGGACACATTTCACCGCTCACCGCGGCGGTGAAGCCAAGACAATAGAATTTAACGTGACCGCCACCGCTGCAGTGTGGACCTTTACATGGAACTCTTTGATATAAAAAGTTGCATTATATGATATCCGTGGACTCATCATATTGACGTACCTAGTATAATATCTAACATTATTCATTTATATTCCATGGCAAATCTCATAGTCGTTGCAGACGACACAGTCGATTAAAAATTCTAAAATTTCAATAAGCAAAGCAGGTATGAGTAAAAAACTTACTGCGTCCCGTATAATTTTATTTTTCATAAATCACAATATTTTAAGTTCTGTATTCTCTGAAGCGTTTCGTCATCATCGTCACAGTTCTCACACTTTAAGGATTCAGCCGAAAGAGTCGATAATTAAACTATTAAAGTAAGTTTTTTTTCATATTCTTTTGGGGCTTAATTTTACTTTCATTTTTTCTAAAATATATAGTAAAAAATAAATCATATTTCGCTATAAAAAAATAATGAAACATAAAGTATTTTAAATTTGAGTGGAATAATTTTTTATGATCATAACCACATTGACTACAGATTATTAAGCATCAGTACAGCAGTAGTTTATAGTCATTTTTGCTCAAAAAATTACATTTAAAAGTGTCATCGACCATCGTGTATTCGTGTATATAAATTATAATAATATACTCTGAGGGCCGTTCTTACAATGTCCGGTAAAGTGTCGGTTAACGCTAACCGACTAATAACAGATTTTATTACCTGCAGAATTATACGGGTTATGTGTAGGTTAAATTTAACCGGACATTGTAAGAACGACCTTAAACATTTTATAAATCCACGAACACCTACTATTTTTAAATTACAACAAAATAACTAAAATCATTATTATTTGTTTTAATAAGTAATTTCGTCCAAATTTGAACTTATAATGTCTGTGAAAATTAACTGTGTTTTTAATAAATTATTTAGTTTTTTTTTGTTAGAGTATGAACACTCACTATGAACTATTTTTGAGAATTCTTGTTTTACATTTTCAATCGTTACCAATAAAAGTTGAACATTTTATAAATTTTACTACTAAATAGTAATTTGTAAATTATCAATTTGATAAATTTTGTTAAAAATTGAACTTTAATTTCTTAAAAAAATGGATCTTATATTGATCTTTAGTTTCAGTTTTTAAACGGTTTATACCGGTTTCTAAAATCGGTTTCAATACCTGGACTATTTACGTTCATTCTTAGTTTATTAATTTTTTTTGAATCGCTGGATCGAGAGTCCGATCGCTCGTGTAAAGTAAACTTTCAAAAATGTCAAGATACAAAGATTTTCAAAAAAAAAATACCGTTTTTTAAATTATATTTTCGGTTTTTAATTATTATACAGGTATGCAATTTTTGTCGAGTCGGTATTGAATTTAATACCGGTTAAAGTAAATTTTAAATTAAAGGTTGCTTAAAAGTTTTTTGTGATAATGAATAAAAGGAAACTGAGAAAAAAGGGGCCCCAAAATCGTAAATACGCCACTGGTACTATGACGTAAGATTCACTCTGTATATTTTTTGCATAGTAAAAAATTATACAATAATATAAAGTCGTTAATATGTAATAATACAATTATTTTGAAGTTAAAGTTGAAAGGGGGCCCACTAAGTGTATGGTGTCTCGGGGCCCAATTGATCCTTAATCTGGGCTTGCTAACACATAATAGTTAGGGAGGTGTAATACAAATTAAACATTATACATATAAAATATAATATCCGTGACGCTTAGGTCATAAGAATATTGTTGATCATTTTA